AATCTCTTAACCTCTTTCTGTGCTGGTGAGGGGTCATCAGGCCCTGCTCAGAGCTCATGTTCTGTGGACGACCACCCTGCCTCTCTGGACACCCAGAGAGGACCTCCCAGCTCCAGCATCCCCTCACCTGCTGCCACACACGCCCACACCTGGGCACAGCCTGCTACCCACAGCCCCACCGTGATGGAGGAAAGCCCAACATTCTGAGACCTTTTATGTGTCATCCTCAGAGCTGTGGAGGAAGGAAACTAGATATTGGTGGGAAGGAGAGGGAAGAGGCTCAGTGAGGAGAATGGTGAGGGGAGAATAGAAATATTGACCTTTCCTTGCCTGTGTCTCCTTCCTTTCAGAGTGGAAGATGGCCCTTTACCAACCTGGTGAGTGAGTCACTGTGTTCCCTGGGACAACGACAGAGGGGCCTGGCTCCCTTCTTCTTCTCCAGCTCTTAACTGGGAGACTTCTGGGTGGGTTACATGAGCTCCCCACAATGTGCCCATCTGCTGCTAAGAGTGCCAGGGACAGCTGCTGCCCTGGGCTTCCCCAGGTCTGCGTGGGAAGGAGGAGTCATGAGGGGTGGAGCTGGGGGCAGGGGCTGGCGAGAGAGGGAGGAGGTGACCTGGCCCAGCTGCTGCCCCTCCTGCCCTGAGCCTCCTCAAGGTGTGCCATGTCTCTGAGTCCCCAAGGGGATGATGGTGGTCATTCCTACTATGTGAGGGTGGAGGTAAGACTAGACGAGGTGGTGAGTGTGTTGGTCAAAACTCCAAGAGGGAAGCCATGACTTCTTCATGATGGGTGTGTGTCTGACGGTAATTACCACAGTCAGGAGAAGGTTATTAAGACCTAAAAGTGATATAGGCAACTCTTTAGATTATGACAGACTGTATTATAGTCATTTACTCACAGGGGTGTGGGGTTGGAGCAGACAGAATAGCTGTCAGTCTGCACAGACTGTTACAGTACTTTTTAAACACACAATTTGGGTGCTAATGATTGTCAGGACAAAGGGACAAAGAGTGTGGCAGCACCAGCCACCTCTTGGGGGGGTCTTGTGGTGGAAGGTTCTTTATAATCGATACCATCACGTTGGGTGTTGACCTCCTTGTCATGTCGTTCTAGTGTTACTAACAGAACTGTTTATGGCTACATTTTAAGGACCACACATCACCATCACCCTGAAGGCTTTGGTGTGCCTGCTAAGAACAGGGAGGTTGGTCAGAGGTCACAGCATGAGAAGATGAAGGAAACAGGAGAA